ATAACCTTAAAAGAATTAAATTATTTTGTTAACACTAAAAATGTGTGAACTAATTTGCTACGTTTGTGTCAAGATGTGTTAAGCAATTGGAAAATATTCTATATAAATAACAATCTATTTTAATACCTAAATTCAGTCAATATGTATACTTACAAGCTATTTCTCCTACCTACATCATACATGTAATACATTCTGATATAACGATCAACAAACGAAATCGACAACTGATCGAATCGATTTATCGCCGCCATTTGTGTGCCGAATGATCAGTCTCTAGTAAAGGGTCTCTATTCCAAATTTGATAACAGTGACATCTTTCATTCATTTCTTATACTTATTATTATATATCGTTGTCTCGCTCAAACGCATTTATCTGTCCTTATCTAACATATTGCAACGCTATCTCTTAGAAAGAGATAAACTAAAATACTGCTCGGTTTCGTGGCTTCACGTCAATTTTATTCGTAGTATACGAACGAAATTTTCGGCGACTCTTTTCTCTTATACCAAAGCCCTTACCTCATTTCTAAAAGCATAGGATTGTTTTTCGAGGTTTTCTGTAGGCTGCTGGCTACTTATTTTAAACGGGTAAAATCTGAAACTCTTATATGCAGCACATATTGTGACGAGTTGACTGCAGGAGCCGGTGACAAAACTACAATTTTTAATTTTCTTTAATTTTTCGCATTAAATTGTAGCTGGCAGCCTGTGTTGTTATCGATACTTTAATTGTGGAGACTTTTCAATCCATAAACACAATTAAGAGAAAAGAGTCTTTAAAAATTAATGGTAAAACAGGACACTCCAGCATCCCCTTAAGACATTAACTTAAGACGATCTTGAAATAAGAACCAGCTATGAATACCAATCTATATAAGACTCTTTACTGTTTACCTTCTATTTCTCATTTTTGTTTATTACATCTGTTTTTTATCACATTGTTGAAATGAATATCGAATATGATAAAAATATAGTATTTACATATTTTATTTTTATTTATACTTGTATGATTTTAAATTTTATGTTATACATTGTATTCTTACCATACACTTATAATAAGTATGATAAATAATAAGTTTCTGATCTTAATCCGGGTTAAATATGGACTTAACGGATCGAGAAATTAATATTCAAATGTTCAAATGTTCATGTACATCAATTAAAAGACAAAATATTGGCGACATGTTGCCCATCCCAATTACAAAATATATGGTAGTCTGAGAGAATGCAGACATGTCGCTATAAATGGGATGTAAATGAGTTGGTTTGTCCTCCTATCGATCTTTAAACCAAGGTTGGTAAAGACTAATGTTTTTTTTTAAGAATAAAACATATTATGTTTCTTCTTGAATATGTTTTTAATGCTTCAAATAATTTAATGCTTTGAACAGTACTATAAAAAAACATATTTAAAACATATTAAAAACATCAATTAAGCATGTTTTAAACTGTTTAAAACACGTTTAAAACGTTTTTTTTTTACCAACCCTGCTTTAAACACACGACTAATACGAAAGCCGACGATCGCTAAGAACACGATATAAGAATATAAGGTGTTTCGCATAATGGTGGGATCAAATTTGGGGCAGTGAATCGAAATGTAGCTTCAAATGTAGTGCGATAGCATTGCGGAAATATATAATTTAAGGCTTCTGAGTACTCACTCCAACCATATTGAATCGTGACGTCATAAGCGAGAAATGTGTCATAAGCAACACATTGATTTTTCTTGCATGCTATTTGTAAATAAAGAGAATTTGAATTAAACGAAATGATGAGATCGCTTTAAAACACTTGTAAAAATGAACGAAACCAATTCTTATCTCCCCTGATTGTCGAAAAAGGTGCCTTTTACGATTATTTAGTGACTGTCAAGGGAGATAAGGCTATATTATAGTTTTCGTCCATTTTTACAAATGTTTTAAAGCGATCTCATCATTTCGTTTCATCCAAATTCTCTTTATTTACAAATAATACGCAAGAAAAATCAACGTGTTATTTCTCGCTTATGACGTCACGATTCAATATGGCTGAAGTGATTACTCAGGAGCCTTAATTTGAGATTAATAGCCGTAATCTATTAACTTATACCGTAATCTATAAAAATTGACCAATCAGTCGATTATTCTCCTCTCATTTGATGGTGATTGGTCAATTCTTATAGATTACTATTATCAGAGAGGTTTTTCTCTACTATTATAAACCAACTTTTAATCTGTCGCAGATTATAGAAGCCATGTTTTTTGTATTCGGGGCAACTCTCGGATTGATCAGTACTGCGCATCTCAGGAGCGAACATCATATATTCTTACATCATGGCTAGAAATATTTTATCTGAATCGAATTTTCAACATAATGACGTTTAATCAATATGACTGTTTTAATTAAAAAGCATCATCAATTAAAAATCGTGACGCAAAGCCAATTCTCTGATTATTTAGAACCTTAATATATATAACCTTTTTGTTTAATTAATACCTCTTGGCAGAAGATACAAAAATTAAGTCTTTTGTCACTGTAGACGGCACTATAGAATACGTTACAAAAATTAGTTCTTATATTCGGCGTCGCAATACATCTTGGCTTATGATATCTCGCGAGGTTAACATTAATTAAAATCTATACTTAGGTTGCTTTCCTTTTAAGAGATGATTGACATACAATCGTCGTTCTATTCTTCTTCAATAAATAACAAATAAAGAGTGACACTTGTGTCAATCGTGTTCTAAAAGAAAAAAGTGACATTATGTAGTTAAAATGACATCACTGAAATATAATTATACTGGGACACGCGACCCTCTACTGCCTTTGTTAAGTGATGTGAGAGATAGCGTTTCAGTATCATATATGATGTTCTTTTTCTAAACTATATAGCATATGTGCAGTAGATGGTAGCGAGAATCATATAGTCTCATAAAAAACTAAAATTCACTAACGTAATACATATCCATTAAATGTACATCATTAACACAGACTAATTTAATCTAATTGTTTTGATTTGATACAGTATATGTCTCTCACCAGAGACAATTCGGTGCATAACGTAGTCTGTAATAATAAAACTTTTGATCAGATTGAATTATACTAAAAAAAATAGAAATATCATTTAGAACCTTCTTTATCGGATTGCGATATCAGCAAATGCGCATTCCAGTATTATATTTCAGTGAATTTAGGATCATTTATATTGACCATAATCTGTAAGACTTGACTATAGTCGAATGAGAAGGGAATAATCGACTATAATTGGTCAATTACAGGATTATGGCATAAATTTATATTACATAGATTACAGCCTGTGTAAATGATCACGAGTATTCAAAGCCGGGCGCATAGAGATAAATTCGCTAAAAAAAAAAAAAGATACATTTAGTAGAGGAAGCAACAAAGAACGTATAAACTCGAATACAGAGAAGCATACATATGTCCGAATCAAAGTTCCAGCCAGTAACCATGACGTCTATTTTTAAAAAGAACGACTTGTCCGGAGGATACTTCGTGACTTCATTCATAGAACAGCTGAAACTTAATAGTCGTATCATGCGGACGCGGAATGCCACTAACTACTTCATTTCTCTCTGATCGAATTGCTTTTTAATTTCCTGTTAGTTTCATATTTTTAATGTTCGTCATCGATTAATAAATATCTTATCTGATATCTATTTTCCCATTCAAACATGGTAGATTTACAGCTGCAAACTGTTCTTTCAGTTCGGCATTAATTCCAATCTTTGAATTTTGATTAGAAGCTGTAATAGCCGTACTGATGAGAAAGACTTTTTTGTCTGTAGGGTGCGACCAAAAGTTTGCTTCATAACTGCAGGTTTGACACTTATAAAAGAACTGTGTCAGTAATCCTCGGCGACGCGAATTTATAAGTATCCAATCTTTAAATTTGCACTCGAATCCTGGTGCATGACCATCAAATACCCGATGCATCTCTTTCATAAAGAAAGAAATATTGATAATACGATCACCTTCAGGCTCATGCTCTTGGATACGATTTATACCTGGAACGTCGTCTTCTTCACAAATTCGGACATTTTCATATGTATCTTTATTTAGCTTTGTACTCAGGTACGTTTCTAAAGTATTCATTTCTTTTGAATTTATTGGTCTTGTTTTCAAGTATGTTTTTAAAGTACTTATTTCTTTTGAATTCATTGGCCTTGTATCCTGGTACGTTTCTAAAGTATTCATTTCTTTCGAATTCATTGGCCTTGTTTCCAAGTATGTTTCTAAAGTATTTATTTCTTTCGAATTCATTGGCTTTGTACCCAGGTTCGTTTCTAAAGTATTTATTTCTTTCGAATCCATTGGCTTTGTACCTAGGTATGTTTCTAAAGTGTTCATTTCTTTCGAATCCATTGCTTTAGGTGACATGAATGAGTTTGACTCCATTGCTTCAGGTGATATGAATGAGTTTGACTCCATTGCTTCAGGTAACATGAATGAGTTTAATGACTCGATGGATTCACTTTTAATAATATTGTTAGCAATATAGTTGTCTGCCAAGGCTTCTTGTTCCATCATCTCTCTTTTACGTCGTCGCCTGCAAAAAATAATAAAAATATTGTGAAATAGAAGCAATTCTTTCAAAATTCATTGTTAAAAGGGAGCAACTTAATTAAATTTACCATATGTTATTAGTAGAGGATTTGTGAATTTTTTAAATTTAAATTTGGGCACTGATGAAGACTAAGTAAGTCAAACCGTTTGCATTGTACGAAACATAATAATTAATTAAATTGTATTTCTTTGAACAACCTATATTACTTATTATAGCCACGATACTGATTATATTTTTATTATATTTTCAGATCAAATAATAATTATATTGATTTATTCTACTCTAGAAAGATAGACTAAATCATTTGTTAGTTGAATATTTGTCATATCAGGAGTTACTTATTTTTTGTAATTCTCTATTTTTAATCATTATATCTTTTTCGTCCCCATCTCCAACAAGATTTAAAAAAAAAAACGCAATTTTTTTACTTGTAAATATCAATTGCAGTATAAAAATGTTTATTATGCGAGTCGAGGTGCAAAGATTTAAAAAAAATAGAAGAGTTCATAAGGGTCTTCCGGAACACACTGGATTTTTAATGGATTAAAAGACGATCTTAAATGTAATAATCATGAATACTAATCAAAAACTGAAGATGCTACTACCAATCCAAAATAAGTAACTGTAATGGTAACAGCGTAATCAGTAATGCGTTACTTCCCATTCTTGAATAAACTTAATGCACAATTACATACAGTCGGAATAGGATAAAATGTATTTTGTATTTGTATTTGTGTTTGAATTAGTTGTATAACAGTTCATTATAAAAGTTTAATTTAAATTAAGCTATATTAGTGTTCATGGTGAAATGAATAACATTGAACACTGTGCCTTGAGAACGTTTTTTGTTTAAAAAGGCTTAACTTTAATAGAAATTTTTTAAGATGAAAATTTGTTGAGAGTACCATCGCATATAGTAAACTGATTACCGAATAGTCTAACTGTGAGGATACTCAGCAAGCGGAATTCGATTCCCGACCGAAGTAATACTTTTCGCAATAAATTATTCGCAGTTTTTAAATTTCATCAACATATGACAATTCTTGTTAAAAAGATGCTTATTCATATCAAAAGATCAAGTCTATGTTTAGTGTAAATTTATTGTCATATTGCTATTGTCAGAACTGTTTTAATGTTGTCTTCAATTTAACTTCAAAATAGGTTTTTTGGATTTGATTTATATTAAAGAACAATTGAGGACACAGGGTACATTTTACTAAAACGCCTGTGTACATCAATTTACCCTTGTTTAACACTCGATGACAATAAGGATAAACTGATGCTCACTTTGCGAATATTAAATGGAACGCATTAAGTAGGTTCTGACTTTGATATTACTAGTTTATACCGCATATTTAGGTTGCTATCTATACGATAGGTATTCTTATTTAATCCATAGATTAAATAAGGACACCTATCGCATAGGTAGCAGCCTAAATGTACAGTGTAAAGGGCACCAATGTCATTTGCTTGTATTTGTTTCTCTTTTGGTAACATTTCATAAACAAAATGTTTGCTACATTTTCCATTATATTTTTATTTTGTACAGACTTTACGAAATGAAATAACATAATAAAATATCAATTTTAACATTAAAACAATTCCTTCAACATATGGCATGGCATAATTGAGAATACTAACCTTAAAACACATGTTTTCTTTTTAGAAAGTCTTCTAGTACAGAGAGTTAAATATCTACCATGGGAGTGTCTTCCCATACTTAATGTGGATTTGTGACAATTTCACTATAAGAGATTGAGGTGTTGTGAAACACTTTTTCTTCAACTCAGATCTTCAATATAAAGTATATGTGGAATTAACTTGTATGTAAACATATGGTTAGCTAACTTGAAATTTTTGTTTCCTTCCTATAAGAAAAAGGAATAAAAAAAATCAAAGTTGATACTTGTTGCAGTGTTCCTATACAGGGCTTTGTAATCACTCATAGAATCAGGATACTGATATACCTCAAAAATTAGTAAATTAAGAACTATTGGAAAATGAATTTTTTTGCTTATTTTTTTCTTTGCAGTGCTTTTTTTTCTCCATTACTCTAAGAGCATTTATGAAATCTTGATATGATAATCAATCCTTATACAGATAATTGCTATCGGAATCTTATTCATAATGTATTATTCTTAAAAAAAGTGAATTATAAAATATTTACATCTAATTCTTGACAAATATCATTTTGAAATTTTATTCTGACAAAATTATGACAAATTATTTTAACACATTATCACAAAATTTTTGTTCAATTCATGCTATTATTGTGCAATATTTTCACAATTTACCTATTAAGGCGATTATATGTATACAATATATGGGGTCTGTTTTTTGTGGCTGAACTAGTATAAATTTTTGGAACTTAAAGTGGTTCTTTAGTAAATCGAGTTACCATAAAAATATTTAATTATTTTACGTAATAAAGTTGAAGTACCGAAATTGACGTGTACAAAATTCTACTACAGGTTAACGATAAAATAAGAGAAAAAAAATGTTGAAAATGTAACATTTCACGTATAATTTAATGACAGTTAAGGCTCGCAAACGCTTCTGTGACTAATTGCATACAAATCTTACCATAGACTTCTCTCAAAAACAAAATTATAATAGTTCAAAAAATTACGATTTTAATGGTCACAAAAGAAGTAATAGGTCAACGACCATTCTGGAAAGATATTTACGTGCATAAACTTGCATATAAATTTAACCTCGAAAAGTAAACATAATCTCATCTTGTTTTCCGTTCGATAAAGATGCACCTCTTGATTTACTATCACATGTTCCTTACTATTTCATTAAAATATATACGTAGTTTTAATATTTTATTCAAATTATGCAAATATTTGTAATTTTTGGCTGGGCCCTTGTGAGACACCCCAAATTTTCGGCACTTTACTAAAGAATTATCTTAAAGTGAAATATTTAATATCTAATGTTTGGCAAAAGCGAGAAAGAAAATTCTAGTGCAGGGATAAAAAACAGACCTATGATTTAAAGAATTTGTAAGGAACAAGAAATACATAAAGATAAAAACAGACAGAAAATGTTATTTCTAACCTTAATTTTATAGAATATAGCATATTCGATTTACTAACTCGACCGCAGTGTTGCCAACTCTAATGAGCCAGCTCCTACTAGAAACTTCAATAGAATCTACCAGAAATCGACTAAGGGCCACTTTTACCAAGCTCAGTTAACAGCGTATTCGATTTAATGACTCGATTCGAGTCAATAGTCTGTTCTGTTTAGCTGCAAAAGAAGAGCTAAATTGTGTAATAAATGCAGCTAAAAAGAACAGACTGTTGACTCAGAGTCGGGTCGAGTTCGTATAATCGAATACGCTATTAACCAGTCTAGTAACTGTAATAAAATAGAAAGAGATAGAAATAGTTATATCTCTTTCTATTTCGTTACAGTTACTAGGCTGATTAAGACCGCGGTCCGATACGCGCTCACAACGCTTAAAAATCATTTCATCCTTGTTGTTTGTCAAATGTTAAACGAAGACAAACAATGCTCATGAGCGTTGTCAGCATGATTCGGACCACGGCCTAAGTAAACCGATGATGGTGAAAGTGACCCTAAATGTAGAAAATAAGATCTTTTTTTAATTTTACAAGCATAAAATTATAAATAAACGTTTGAAGGACTCGTTAATACACCAGTGAAAAAATTTAGAAAATGTTTTTACTTAATAAATATTTGTTTCATATATTTGTACATCTCATACAAAATAATACAATTATAATTAGATCACACGCATGACGCAATTACAAATAAAATTATAAAATAACTTAAAATAAAGAACTCTGTATATTTGCACCAATAAAGAATTCTTTATATTGGCTGCATTCAGCAAACAGTTGAATGAGCGCTCACTGTTATTGGTGTATTCTTTTAAATCGTCCAACCAGATTTTAGATCTAGAAGAATACATCAATAGCAGCGAGCGCTCACTTACCTGTTGAGTCTGCTGAACGCAGCCACTGACTAAAAATTCTTACGATTTGCACGTATTGACTAAAAACCTATGCTATCTACTAATTGCCAATTGCCATAGGCCTTAAAAGTCGAAATTAAAATCAATTATCATCCATCAGGTTATTAGACATATAGCAGTCTTTTGTTTTAATTTTTTTTATGACATCGTAGTTTTATACGTTTTATATGTATTATACGTAAAAAATTATTCGCAGCTTTGAATTGCCCAAAACTGGTTAAAAATGAACGTTGAGCATTAGCATGAAAAGGTACCTTAATGGCTGCGTTCAGCAGAGAATGTAGTTTTGCAACCATTGTAAAATTCTTGAATATGATTGGTTTATACATTTAGATCCAATGAGAAACTAAGGGCAAGACCAATCATATTAAAGAATTTTACAACAAAGCTGTTTTTTCTTCTGAACGCAATCGGCTAAGGCCCAGTTTCACAACTCACGATTAATTCTTAACCGAGGTTCAACTTATTTGTCACCTTTTTCCAATTCTAGAATTGAAAAGAGATAATGAATAAGTTGAACTTCGGTAAGAGTTAACCGTTAGTTGTGAAACTGGGCCTAAGCCCGGATCTACGTCACAATCGATTATTCTTTTCGCATTTGGCTGTAATCAGTCAGTTTCTTACGGCTTAAGACTTAAAATATCTATTGTAGATCCGGACTTAATCCTTAAAATCTCATTGTAGATGCCGGTTTAATCGGGTTTAATAACGACAATATAATAAATAATATATAATAAACATAAATGAGCAAATAATAAAAATAATATATACCTTTTTATTATATATTGTTTATATATATACAGAGTGTCCCGACCTTTTTTGCCAATCTTTTGTGTAGATAGAGCGGACTAAACTGAGTCGAAAAGTCCTCTACCATTTTGCAATTTTCGCAATAGTCAACAAGTGTTCTGAGAATTTTTTCAGAATTTTTTATCAACTTTTTAGTACTGCATTTTCTTATTTTTATCAACATGAGAAAATACGGTATTAAAAAATTCTGAAAAAATTTTTTTTAAATTCTCAGAACTTTATGAGAAGAAAATAAATTATTTTTGTCTCTTGCAGTTTTTCTGTAAAGTTGATAGTATTTGAGTACAAAATTATTCAAGACTAATATTTTGCAATTTTTAGTAATTAATATTTTGTTGACTATTGCGAAAATTGCAAAATGGTAGAGAACTTTTCGACTCAGTTTAGACCGCTCTATTTATAAAAGTGATTAGCAAAAAAGGTTACGACACCCTGTATTTTATATTTATAATACCTACATTTACCATCCTAAACATACTAAATATGTATTCAAAATCATGTTATGTGATTTTGAATATTGAAATATAGAATGGGTTCTTGTATCGCGCATTCTCATGAGAACATAATCACACAATAAATTTTTCTTATTTCTCCAATTAAGAAACACTACCCTAGGATTATTATTAGGACATTAGGAAACACTTCTAATACTTGTATATTAATATAATGATTATTACAAATAAGACATTTTGTCTTAGCTATTCAGTTAGAACAAACATTTCTGTTTGTTAATATAATCAGTATCATCGGAATAGAATTTTCTATCTCTAAATAGAATTTATTTTACCATTATTGTCTGAACAGACGCTGCATTTAGTTTGTAGTTTAATTCAAATATTTATATATTTAAGTTAACAAAATCTTGTAATTTAAAACATGTTTGAATTAATAAATGCTTGACAGTCCATAACTGCTGCATTTAGTTGAATTAACTAATATTTTTTTTTTAACAACTTTTCTCGGTGTGATAAATTTCAGGGTATTTTGAGACTATTTCAAAAATTAAACAATAAAAATAAAAACTTCATCCTCTTAACCACATATGACAAGATAAATTTTAGATTTTTGGAATAGAATTACAAATCTACCACAACTCGTTGATAGACTGAGTAATCAAATACAGCAAAGAACAAAAAAATCAGTAAAAAATAAATAATCATGAACAGTGCATACAGTAAAAACATAAATAAAGTATAACAAGAATAAAGTAAAAAATCAGCAGTTAAGATATAAAAAATATGATCAAATATTGAATATAACAAACGTACAATTGTATACAATAATGGTGGTCAAAATTTTCATATACTGTTTTATATATCTTGTATAATATGTCAACTGTTAATAATCCACTAATAATAATTAATACATTACTAATTGTTCTTTGACTTTATTCTTATTACAACTTATTTATATATCTTTCTAATATGTAATATGTCCATGGTTATTTATTTTTATTTTATATTGATTTCCCATTCTCTGCTGCATCTGATTATTCAACTTACCAACAGGTTAGAGGAACTTGTAACTCTATTCTAAAATCCAGAATTCATCTTAACATGTGCAATTTAGATCGTGATGTTTTTATTTTTATTGTTCAATTGACGAAGATGGCTCAAATTAAGCAGAATCGAAACATCCAGCAATTTATCGATATTAAATATGTGAATTACATGTGATTTATATGCGCACTGATATCTACGTTTGATTATCAGCTCCATTCTAAAATAATTATAATAAATTATATACACACCTTCGTACCCATCCTTTCTTTCGGGAGAGTCTATAGAAGGATGGAGGCAGCTTTTTTGCGCTATACTTCACCATTGAGTCGTACAAACTATAAAAATATATACTTTTATATATGTGAAATTACGATTAGAAATTGTAAAATATTCGCTCGAGATAAATTACTTTAGATACGTTCGAATAAACACCAGAAGAGATTATTAGTGCTGTTTCTGTTTTTTTTAAGGTGCCTTTTCATGCTCTCTCTTCTCTGACGCTCGATGCTCAATTTTGTGTCCAAATAGATCACGTGATCAAAATGTATGCTTGATATTCGTCTAATTTTATCGCGTTGCGTATCGCGCTGGTGTGCAAGAGCCTTAACGATAATGGTATATCCACACAACTTGCATAGCCGCATAAACATATGCATAAAGAAAATTATCCAATTCCATTTCTCTTACAATGTTGCATGTAAAATGTGATTAGATAATTTTCTTTATGCATATGTTTATGCGGCTATGCAAGTTGTGTGGATATATCCATAAAGGGCTTCACACATGAAATGCATAACGGAGCATAAACATAACATAAGGCCGCTAAACCAATGAGCATCTTACGTAAATCAATATGGCGACATTATGCTAGATGCTCATTGGTCCAGCAATCTTATGTTATGCTTATGCTCTGTTATGTATTTCATTTGTGATAGCCTCAAGGGCCATTTCACACAAACTTGCAGAACCGCATAACCATATGCATAAAGAAAATTATCCAATTACATTTCAGTCATAAAGACAAACGTAAACTACGATTGGATGATTTTCTTTATGCATATGTGTTTATGCGGCTATGCAAGTTGTGTGGAATGGCCCTAATGGCCGCAGCACAGACTCTCGCATAACGCATAATGAATATTGCATAAGGGAATCAACCAATCGAAATTCTTCTTTTCCATGGAATGGGAGGAAAGGAAAGATTCTGATTAGTGGATCCGTTTAATGCGTGTACTATGCGTTAAGCCTATCTCACATGAAATACATAATAGAGCATAAACATAACATAAGACCGCTCGACCAATGAACATCTTATGTAAATCAATATGGCGACTTAATGCTGGATGCTCATTAGTCCAGTGGTCTTATGTTATGTTTATGCTCTATTATGCATTTCATGTGCGATAGGCTTTATGCGTTATGCAAAAGTCTGTGCTGCGGCTTTAAAAACACAAATAGACTGCGTACATCATAACGTTTATCTTGCAACTGTTGGAAGTTTTCTTCGCGCTGATTGGGTTATGCTTTTAGATCAAGAGGAATGGTCCTATCTCAGCAGAGAATCATAAAACGGTGGTAAAACTGGGATGGCACCCAGTTGGACACGGCTCAATTGGACACGAGCCACTCACAGCGCTTGAGACTACAAAGTTCCTAAGCACTGGTCGCTGTGATTGGTGGTGTCCAATCGAGCCGTGATCAATCGGGATCACCCCTCCGATGTGCGTCGTACGACACTCTGCAACCAATCAGAAAACAGGATTCCGATGGATTTTGCTTCGTATCATCGGATCCTGTTTTCTGATTGGCTGCAGAGCGTCGTACGACGCAAATCGGATGCAGTGTGAATCCAGCATTTGATCAATTCTGATTTCAACATCAGAAAGCGACCATTGTAGTATATATGGTTTCTGATAGGTTGAAATTTGTTATTTCTTCTTCCTATTACCTGTACTTTTCATTGTGTTTCCAACTTAATGGCCACAGCACACACTCTTGCATAACGCATAATCCATAGTTCATAATGGAACCAACCAATCGAAATTCTTCTTTTCCATGGAATGGGAGGAAAGGAAAGATTCTAATTAGTTGATTCGTTTATGCACTATGCATTATGCTTTATGCAAAAGTCTGTGTCGCGGCCTCTGGATCTACAATAGGTGTTTTATGCCTTATGCCGTAAGAAACTGACCAATTACAGTCGAATCCGAGAAGAATAAGCGACTGTGATTCGCCTATTTCTTATGGCTTAAGGCTTAAAACCCTATTGTAGATCCGGGGTAAGGGCTATCGCACATGAAATGCATAACAGAGCATAAGCATAACATAAGACTGCTGGACCAATGAGCATCTAACATAATGTCGCCATATTGATTTACATAAGATGCTCATTGGTTTAGCGGCCTTATGTTATGTTTAGGCTCTGTTATGCGTTTCATGTGTGAAGCCCTTAACGATTGGTACATTAACCTGCATTAACTTAAGAAACATCGGAAAACCAGGCAGGGAATTGAGAAGAAGAAGAAGAAGAACCTAAGAATTTAAGGAATAAAATTTGCAAAAGTGAGGCCTCTATCCCCCGAAAAGGGTATCACAAGATCCAAATTCATCGCATGGTACTATGACCCTTTTTCTTGGGTCAGAAAACCAAATAGGAAATTCAGAAGAAGAATGATTGGGACAAAAATTACGGATGGAAAAGAGAATTAATACAAAAAATTGGTTGTGTTATGTTGATAAAAGGTAGGTCAGAATACGTCTATTTTCCTCGTTAGAGGGACTATAATGAAAAAGAAAAACTTAACAATTACTATCTCGGTTTATAAAAAAAGTTTTTTTTTCTACTAGTTCTTTCGTTTCATGCAAAAACGTATCAAATAAGCCTAATTTCATAGATTTTTAAGGTGGGAAGGGTTAAATTAAATAACCTTTTCTGATGTCTACATAAATGTATCTTTAAGGCCCAGTTTTACAGCCCTTCTACAATAAGCCACAAGTCAAAAGTTTTAAACGATCTTAAGTCATAATCGGTGAAGTTGGCCAATAGCCAACTTGAACGACTTGGTTAAGACTGGTTAAGACTTCTGACGTTCTGACTTGCGACTTATTGTAGAAGGCCTATTACAACTTATGCTTAACTCTTAAGGCCGCGACACAGACTTTTGCATAATAGGCCTTGTACAATAAGCTGCAAGTCAGAACGTCAGAAGTCTTGAGCAGTCTTAACCAAGTCGTTCAAGTTGGTTATTGGCCAACTTCACCGATTATGACTTAAGATCGCTTAGAACTTCTGACTTGCGATTTATTGTAGAAGGCCTATTAAGCATAATGCATAGTGCATAAACGAATCAACTAATCAGAATCTTTCCTTTCCTTCCACTTCATGGAAAAGAAGAATTTCGATTGGTTGATTCTCTTATGCACTATGCGTTATGCGTTATGCAAAAGCTTGTGTCTGGGCTCTTAACCGAGTTTCAACTTGTTTTTCATCTTTTTCCAATTCTAAAATTGGAAAGAGACAATGAATAATTCGAATCTCGGTTAACCGTCAGTTGTGGAACACTGGGCCTAAACGAGATAAAAATTAGAGAATTGAGCGAATTTACTAGCTTTTGATCAATGAAGTTATAAATATTTTAGTGAGAATTTTTGGTTTTTGTAATTTTCACCTTTGATTTTAAGATACACAATTGACGACCCCAATATTAATTCAGCTTCAATTATTACTACTAGTATCATCATATCATATAGTGATAATCTGGCCGGTGTAGTCTAAAAATCATTCCTAATCATGGTACTTGTAAATGTAGAATTTACGTAGCATACAATGCCCGAAATCCAATATGTAGAATTCACATATGTCCATGTCCATAGTCAGACCTTATATTTATAATGGGCCTTCTACAATAAGCTGCAAGTCAGAAGTTCTAAGCGATCTTAAGTCATAATCGGTGAAGTTGGCCAATAGCCAACTTACAGCCCTTCTACAATACAATAAGCTGCAAATCAGAACATCAGAAGTCTTAACCTGTCTTAACCAAATCGTTCAAGTTGGTTATTGGCCAACTTCACCGATTATGACTTAAAATAGCTTAGAACTTCTGACTTGCAGCTTATTGTAGAAGGGCTGTTTAAACGACTTGGTTAATGCGTGGTCTACAATGGCAGTAGCAGTAGTGGATTAGGTTGTAAGAGTAAGAAATTGACCAATTGCAGTCGATTATTCTTCTCACATTCGACTGTGATTGGTCAATTTCTTACTCTTACAACCTAATCCACTACTGCTACTGTCATTGTAGACCACGCATAAGACTGGTTAAGACTTCTGAGGTTCCGACTTGCGGCTTATTGTAGAAGACCTATAAAGGCCATTCTACATTGGTCGTATCGTAGCGTCGGAATCGTCGTAAGCATCATACGACTTAAAAATTGAAGCATTGGATTGGCTGAAGCAACAAGCTTGTTACTTGCGACGTCTACGATACGACCAATGTAGAATGGCCTTTAGACTTTCGAATGCTGGATCTACAATAGAAGTCGTAGCGATCGTAGGGTCTTAAGTTGTAGAAAATTGACCAATCATAATCGAATATGAGAAGAATAATCGACTACGATTGGTCAATTTTCTACGACTTAAAACCCTACGACTGCTACGACTTCTATTGTAGACTCCGCATTAAACTTATTTTTAGATGCTCAGTACCCAAACAACACAAAGTATCTAAAAGAGGGACATAAGACGTCTTTCGCGTTTAAAAGATGTCTTATGTCTCAATGTGTTGTTTGGGTAGCCAATAAAATAATTCGTAGAGATATTTATCTGAAGATAAATTTAAGGACGCCTTAAATATAAGGCTTGATTATGAATATAGATAAAAGTACACAATATTTGATATCCACGATAGGAGAATTTGTTTTCTGAAGACAAAATGTTGCTGATTAGAATAAAATTCTCTTATTGGATACTGTATCGTCATATGTCAAATATTGTATGCTGTGTGAATCCTACATAAGGTTTTTAATGTATAGTGTACATATAAAATAGTGTCATTGCCATTGACGTTCAGATTTCAGTGATTGCGTTCAACAGATTCAACGGTTGAGTGAGTACTCGCTGCTATTGATGTATTCTTCTAAATCTGATTGATCTGCTGAACGCAATCAGTGTTTGTAACACGGTAAAAACAGGTAAAAACATATTTTTTATTTATGTTTCAGCTACACTTAAAATCATCGTACCTATAACGTTATACTTTTGACATGTATAAAATTTTACTATCGAAAGTGTTGTTTCAATTCAGACTTTAACTATTGTGAATAAAAAAAGTGACACATATTTTGTAATTTTAACATATACTGCCATAAGAGAAAGAGATGAATATGCATTACATATTTACATCTGGAATAAGAAGAAGCAATCAAATTGATGATAAGATTGTACTTGAGAAATCTGCGTGATGAGAAATTTGTCATCACAAAGAGACAATACTTGTTGCTTTCCATGTTACTTTTCCTATATTGGTCAGTTTTTCGCTTTTAAGTAATCATCCTAATAAACGAAAATCAATTTAAATGGATTTGATGATCTAACTGAAATACGTTAATAATGTTGAAAATTCTCAACAGTAATCATTCCTTAATCTTAACGAATTGAAAACGAACAAAAACGGAAGCGCCAAGGTCACGTTGTAAGTATTTTACTTTAGCTTAATATTTTTGTTTTCTACATGAGGGAGCAACACAATAAATGTTCTTATATGAAAAATTTTTTACTGGATGCAATAGACATTATGTTTTATTTTTACAGTATCAAAATGGAAATAATACCTGGTAAAAGGAAAGACAGTTTTATATATGTATATGAGGGATATAAATATAATATTGATAAAAGATATACTCATGTATATCGCTGTGCAAGAAGACGCAGTCATTTATGTAGTGGCGTATTAATGATACAAAATGAAAAATTTACTTTAGGAAATATGCATAATCATCCAAGTGAGCCTCATGTTATAGATGTTTTCAAATTAAAAAGAGAAATGATTCAAATGTCTAAATATACCACTGCAACATCCAAAGAAATATATGATACAATTTCTCAAAAGAATCAAAGTGCAGCAGCAAATATTTCATATAATGCAATGAAAACTCTGTTGTCAAGAGAAAAAGTTAAAATGCGACCTCCAGTACCTTCAAATGTTTGTGATTTAAATGATTTACTTAAAGAATATGAATTTACAAAATCTGTTTATAAAAGCTGCATTATATCTGAAGACAACAAATATTCATATATTTTCACTACTGATAAACTTTTAAAATTATTAGAGAAGAGTTCTGAAATTTATGTAAATGGAACGTTTCCCGTAAGTAGCTGTTGCTAATATTTTTGTTCAAATATGATTGATAAATATTAGAATATTTGTGAATATATACACAAAATACAATATGTACGATATGTTTGTGTGTGTTAATATATATGTACATATTATTTTAGGCTATACCCAAAATGCCAAGGTTTGCCAAATTATTTTCAGTACATGTGCGGTACATGGAAAAGGTATTGATATTATACAATAAACACAAATTATTATGTATATTTATTGTGTGCAATTTTACAATACTTTGTAATATTATCTTCTAGGGTGTTGTAGTATTACTTATTTTATGTGAAGCAAAAACAGAATTTGTTTACAATTCGATATGGAAAGAAATAGTTAAATTAGTACCTAACTTGCAAAACAATTTACGTTTTATAATAATGGATTATGAAAAAGTATTAATGAATACTCTTCATAAACAATTTCCTCAGGCATCTCTATATGGCTATTGGTTCCATTATTGTCAAGTAAATAAATCATTTTTTAATACTAAACAAATACCGTATCAATTAATTTTTGTTCACTCTTTTTTTATTAGATTATTTATAAAACTATTCATATAGTAACTTTTCATAAAATACTTTATTTATAAATGATACAATTAGATTTTTACTAATTTACTCATATGTTCTCTATTTGTAGGCAGTTTTGAAAAAATGGATACAGTTAGGACTTACCATACCGCATAGGGTAGTGTCCATAGCAATGGCGTTAGCATTAGCACCACCAGAAATGTTTTCACAAGGTTTAAATCTTATGCAAATCATTACGAATAAAGAATGTTATTTTTATCCTAATATGTTGCTTTTTATGGCATATATGAAAAGTACATGGCTCTCGATATTAGAAAAAGTTTGCGTATATCGCTGCCCAAATAGGACCACTAACTTTGTAGAATCATTTCATAATATCATGGGACATAAAATGCAAACGGTTCATCCAAATTTATGGATATTTTTAAGTACGTATAATATAATGCTTTATTAAGTATGATACTTTATTGATAATACAAATCCTGTATGTTCTACGAAATGCTACATAGCAATATAAAGATTAAATGAATATCGCAAGTATAGGTGACTTGAGACAGTGTAGATAATTTGGGACAGCATGTATTTTTGTTAAATTCAATCATAAAATCCATCCATGAGTCTCTAAAGGAAGTGTAAAACTTAAATTTTCTTTAGAGACTCATGGATGGATTTCATGATTGAATTTAACAAAAATATATGCTGTTCCAAGTCACCTGCGCTGTCCCAAGTCGTCTACATATACGGTAGCTAAATTATTAATTTTACTTAATACTTAATAATTACTCCCAATGTAATTAATATTTATTTAAATTTTTGTAGATAATGTTTCTAAACTAATTATGAATCAAGAAACCAATTATGATCGTGTAATAAATGGTCAACAAATGACAAAAATCCGTTTTCCATCCAGTATGTTTAGAAATATAAAAATACGAGACGCACAAAATTATTTATCTTCTGGTCTTTTTTCTTTAGAACAATTTCTGCAAGTTTATGATAATGAAATGAGTTATCAGCAACATCAAATGTCATCATTAATTGGTGAGTATTTAAATTTGGTTAGATCAATATATAAGATACATCGCAGTTATTATAGTATATTTTATGAATTATATTTTTGAGTTAGAATTTTTATATATAGAATTATTTTACCTATATGACCATGACATTTTAAACTTGTATTAATTTCATTGGACCACAATTATCAAATTTAAGCTGTTCTTGTTTCGTAACAAAGAATCAATTATGTTGATAAATATAATTTATTTGTAATATGATATATTTACATATTTTTACAATTACAATTGCTTTTTATAATCTTTATAAACAATTTCATAAATATACAAATTAATACAATGATAATAACAACAAAATGTATAACTGGGCGTTAGGAGTCAGCGCTGAATATTATATTCCGCAAAGCTAACTAATACTTATTCATAAGTAAAAAATTCAATTTTGTACGTTTCGGCTTACTATTTGAGCCATCCTCAGCAATAAAAAGTTATCGCTTATCGCACTATAAAATCTGTCGAACTGCGTCTCGCACAATCGTAGTTTCGATCTCCAAAAATGTAATCGCAGTGGAAATGTGATGAGAGACAACCATTTTCAACATAATCTAATGTTATGCCAATCAGTTGCTTAGCTGAATAGAGTAGATAGTGGAACTCAAGCCGATAATAGCAACGAGATATTTTTGAAACAAATGGATATTAATTTGCTTAATTAATGTATATTAGCCAGAAACTCACCTCATCTCCAACAACGATCGCAAGCGGATCCAAGCATCAATCCATTACAACATATTTAAAAATCACAATGTCGAAGTTAGATCGAAAAATAATGTAAGTAACATAAAAGAAAGTCATGTTCGTTTTGATGTTAGTCACATGTTATTCGTTAAATACAAAGAGAGATGTGTCGCGCGAACAAAGTATATCGGTCAATGATAAAAATAAACATATAACTTATTGAGAATTTCTATGTATCCATGATTTAAAGCCTTAGTGTCAGTTTGCACGTTAAGACCATTGAATTGACGATTTATATAAAGCATCTCGGACATTAATCGCTTATTATAATTTCTCTCCGAATCCAGAATTCTCACATTATCCCAATCGAAGTCATGACTGCAACTAAGTCTATGATCTGTGATAGCAGATCGATAATTTTTATTGCTGAGGATGGTTCAAATAGTAAGTCAAAACGTACAAAATTGAATTTTTTACTTATGAATAGGTATTAGTTAGTTTTTTGCGCAATATAATATCCAGCGCTGACTCCTAACGCCCAGTCACATTTTGTTGTTATTATCACTGTAATAAATTTTATAATTAATTTTTCAAATTTAGATCTCAGTGTTGAAGACGAGGAAATATATGCTGATTTGCTTACAGAAGGAGCTGTTAATTCAGGTAAAATTTAAATAAGTAATAATAAATTACTATTTAAAATATAATAATAAATCTTTTTTACTTCTTTACTTCTTAATTAGTTTCAACTTCTGAGTTCCACGTTGAAAAAAGAGTCGAAGACGAAGAGGTAAAGACAAACGAGAGAGCAATTTCAACGAAGGTAATATTATTTTTTTACACGCATATGCACGCCCGCACACACACATGCGCGTACGCACGCGCGCGCGCACACACATACACACAAAACTTATTGTTAGTATAATAAATTGTTACCATTATTAAAGGATTTTGCACTATTTTTATGAGAAAAATGTTTTTGATCAATTTGCTTTAATTTGTCATATGTTATAATTCTTGCATCCCTGATAAAAAATGCATTAAGCATAAATAGTTTGTATCAATAGTTTCTGAATTGAGGGCATTGAAAGTCTTTTTTATATAATTCGTTCATACGTTTGCTTATTGAATTATAATATTGTTGATGTGCAAAAAATAGCATCCAATAACATAATTCAGCGACAGATGAAATTACATAATTATAATCATATTATTGTTATGCAGGACGACCATTAGGATTATGTCTAAACAAAACGATTACTACTTCGCAACAAGCATACCATACAAAACAAATTAACAATTTTCCTTTACAAAACAGCGGTTTTATTTGTTTTGTTCGGTCTATTTGTTGCGAAGTAATAATCGTTTAGTTTAGACACAATTCTAAAAGTAATCCTGTAGATGCTGCTTTCTTAATTTTAGCATCTTTTAGAATATAATGTGCACATGTGCGAAATATTGGGAGTGTGTGCGCGCTTACTACATTTCTAAAGATGCTTAAATTAAGAAAGCAGCAACTATAACAATAATATAATTCTACAATAATTCTATCTGTCGTTGGCTTGTTGATTTTTATTTCAAGCATCAGCAATATTACAAACTTATATAAACAAACATATGAATAGGGGATCTCATAAAAGAGATTTTCAAATGCTTTTTGTTCCAGAATATATAAGAACGTTGTCATTATATTAATAATACTATAAATACTCTCTAAATCTGTAATTACAGATCTCATAGAATTTCATTAATCACGATTTTGATTTTGGAACAACATCAAAATACCAGACCGAGAATATTTTTTCAGAAAAACTTTATCAATTGTAGTAAATATAAGTTGAAAATGCAGGACACTACAAATTCTATTATACATTTACGTTTAAAATATTTTATACACATTTTATTAATCTGTTAAATACATGAGTATATACAGAAAAATTTATTTCAATATTTATAAGAAGAATTCATACGATTTTTTGCTTCTAACATCATATAGTTTAATATCTACAGTAAAAAATTAGAAGTAATAACATGTTAACTTAAATTAAAAATAATAACAAATTAATTTTTTTACAGTTGAAATTAGGGAAAAAAAAATTCAGGGAAATACTCACGATAACGCAGGTAATTATTTAATATATATTTGTAGTATATATCATATGTATACAAGGTGACCCATTTTGAATAGGCCTCTAAATGTAATAAATTAATTTTTTTTACAGTTGAAGATATGGAAAAAGAAGTTGAAGAAAATATTTATGCTAATGAAGGTAATTATTTAACATGGTGTAGTTTGTAGTATAATATGTACACACAAATAAGAGAAGAAAAAGAAAGCCATGAACCAAGATAATTACGAGAATGTCGTTTCAATTCATGATTGTGTTCCAAATTCAAGTAACCGAATCAATGCATATAGTTTATAGAATTGATATAATTGTATTTATATATCACATACGTACATTACTAACATTAAAACCCGCTTCGATCTAAAATGGCTTTCGTCTCATATTTGTATTTAAATACTTTTCGGTTTATTTCACATAATATTGTCTATATTAACGTGACATAACACATAATATTCTGACATAGTTTCATATATCTGTAATAAAAGATCAGATGTTTTAAAGTAACATATCTACTTAAATGTAATAAATTAATTGTTTTTATAGTTGAAGCTAGGGAAAAAGAAGTCGAGGAACATACTTAAAATAATAAAGGTAATTATTTAACATATATTTGTAGTATTGCATGTATGTATCAATATAAATTAGAGAAGAAAACCACGAACTGAAATATAATTGTGAAATTATTTCTTCGTGATTGTGTTCCAAATCCGACAAATCGAATCGCTGCACAGTTTATAGAATTGATATTTGCACTTGTATATTTACATATGAATAATTGAATATTACTAAGCACCAAGAAGCCTCGCCTTAACTCAAAATGGCTTTCGTCTATTATTTGTGTTTAAACATTTTTTGGTATATTTTACTTAATATTATTTATATTAACGTAATATATAACATATGCACCAACGAGATGCTATTAAAGACGGCCAACTTTACGGAAGTTGGCGTTTATATATATATATATATATATGTGTATGTATGTATATATATAATTGATTCTTATTTACACCTGTGACTTTAATGTTCAGAATTTGACTATCAATAGATACAATAACTATATAGAGAAAAAAATTGTAATTTTGTGGCAATATATTGGGTATGGGAATAAGTTTCCGCCCATTGTAGAAAGATGTCGTTAGTAGGAGGTGATCCCGATTGACCATGTCTCGATTGAACACCACCAATCACAGCGACCGGTGCTTAGGAGCTTTGTAGTCTCAAGCGCTGTGAGTGGCTCGTGTCCAACTGGGTGCCACCCGTTAGTAGCATTGCTTGTGTGTTTGATAGAACGGCAACACATGTGTTTGAAAGGTTTGTGTTCAAACTTTTGAGTCCAATAGTTGGCATTCGTTCGAAGCGTAAAAAAGAGTAACTTTTTTTGCGTTGAAGATGTCGGAATTTATTCCAAAAAAGCAACATTTGCGGGAAGTTTTACTCCATTATTTTATTTTAAAGAAAAGTGCTGCAGAATCGCATCGTTTGCTCGTAGATGTTTACAGTGAGCATGCTCCATCGAAAACCAATTGTATGATTTCGGCGGTTAGGTTCAACAGTGGTGATTTTGACGTGCGTGACAAAGAACGCGAAGGTGCACCAAAAAAATTTGAAGATGCAGAATTGCAAGCATTACTCGAAGAAGATTCATGTTTATCGCTCGATAGGTTGTCAAAAGAGTTAAATGTTGATAGATCCACTGTTAGAAGACATCTACACGCAATGGGAATGGTGCAAAAAAAAGGAAATTGGGTGCCATACAAATTGAAAGAGAGAGACATGGAAAGACGTTTGGTCATCTGCGAGATGCTTCGTCAACGACAACAAAGGAAGGGTTTTTTACATCGTATCGTAACTGGCGATGAAAAATGGATCTACTACGATAACCCTAAACGCTTGAAAGCATGGGTGGTGCCAGGTGAACCAGGTCCATCAACGTCAAAACGAAATATCCATGCTTCGAAGATTATGTTGTGCATCTGGTGGGATCAGAGAGGTGTTATATATTATGAGCTGCTCAAACCGTCCGAAACCATCACTGGCGATCGTTATCGACTACAACTGATACGTTTAAACTAAGCTTTGAAAGAAAAACGACCGGAATGGGACAATAGGCATAACAAGCTGATTCTGTTACATGACAACGCTAGGCCACGTTGCAAAACCGGTCAAGAAATACTTGAAAGGAATAAAGTGGGAAATTCTGCCCCACCCGCCGTATTCACCGGACATTGCTCCTTTAGATTTCTATTTGTTCCGGCAGTCGGCCCTTTCTGGAGAACGATTCAATTCTTATGAAGATATCAAAAAATGGCTTGATGAACGGATCGCTTCAAAAGAACCAGATCTTTTCATTCGAGGAATTCGTTTATTATTGGAAAAGTGGGAGAAAGTTGTCGCTTCCGAAGGAGCATACTTTGAATAAACTCACTTATATAGATTTAAATAAATACATCTTTTTCTTTTCAAAAAGAGCGGAAACTTATTCCCATACCCAATATAAAATATTATAGCATTACAAGTACGTATACTTATTTATGCAGCGTTTATATAAAAAATCATGAATTTAATAATGTATTATTCAAATATTTATGTTAATAATCGTAAATTTATATCAATTGTCGATAATGTTATCGTTCTTCAATCATCTCCTGACCCTCTGGGAACCCCTATTGATAATCACGAGAATTTATCCAGGGTCGGCTGTCTTTAATAGCATCTCGTCGGTGCATATAATATACACATGAGTATACAAACACATAAACATATAAAATAATTGATTTTTTTTATAGAACATATTCACGAAGTGTCTGAAGATGGTGATGGATACTGGCTTATTAAAAAGAGTACAGAAAAAGAAGATGCTCCATTTTTTTCTGTAAAAAAATATAATGGATTACAGGTAAAAGCAGATACATAATGAAAGAAAATGTACCATATGTTTAAATGAAAAATCTTATATAATCTTCGTATCACGTGGATGTTGCTTCAAAATTACGTACAGAAGTTAAAATATGAGATATCCTATTTGCAGCAACAATCATCATTGGTATTATCAACGGTATATAATATCATAAATCAGGTATGACTTATATTCTTACCAAATTTGCACAATATTACTGTAGATTTAAAGTCTTATTCATACAAATCTTTAAATAAATTTCTATTTTTAACATAATAATCTTTTTGTTACAGATAAAGGGTTTCAATTTATGAATATCCCTATCTTGTGATTTTGAGAGTAAATTTATTAAGAGCTTTTCAGCTAGAGAAATGACAATTAAAGACACTGTCAGACACAAGAGCGCGATGTAAAGTTGTTCATTGTTTAAACTGCCAAATTTTTTATCTCCTAAATAATTAACAGCCATGACTTACAAGCAGGGTTGGGTAAATTAATTTTTTCTTTTAACTAAGTTAAATTAAAGTTAACAACCTTGAAAATTTAACTTAGTTAAGATACAAGTTAATGTATAATAAAATTAATTGAATTAAAAGTTAAGTTAATAAAAAAAAGTAATTGAAAAATTAAAAGTTAAATTTCTTTCTATTTTATGATTTCAGAGTCTTATAAATAACGGAAATGACAAACATATACTTCATTTAGAATATACTCTATATTTTATTTAAACTTTTTGTTTGTATATACTGTTATATATATATATATATATATAGATTTCGAGCTATCAAAAACTATAGATATATTAAAATATACGGTTTTTGCTAGATTGAAATATCAATATATAATTTAAATAATATATACAAACAAAACTTTTAAGTAAAATATAGATTATGTTCTAAATGAAGTATATGTTTGAGTCTGAGACTTAACTTCAAAAAATTTAAATAAAAAGTTAATAGTTATCGATAAAATGTAACTAAATAAAGTTAAAAAGTTAAGAGTCTAAAATGTAACTAAGTTAAGTTAAAATTATTTAACTTTTCAACTTTTTAACTTAACTTTTAGCTTTTTAACTTGGCACTACCCAACCCTGGTAATAGTATATTTTTCTTTTAACCTAGAATAATATAAATTACGTAAAAATGCGATACTTTACGAGATTGTAATTATTAATAATTGTTAGTATAGAACTGTTATGGTGAATAAAAGTTATTATACATTGAGCTTATTCAACACTTATCACAACAGCAAATTGAATAAAAGTTATTATACATTAAGCTTATTCAACACTTATCACAACAGCAAATCAGAAGCATCAGTGACTATGTTTAGCAGTAAAAACTGATCAGAATATCTTAAGATATTAAGGATGATGTCCCATGATAGTCGGCATTTCAGAAAACGGAATCTTAAAAGAAACTGGATATAACAAATATCCAAAATAAAAAATAAATAGATGACGAGAGAGTAAATTTTATCCCCAATTCAACTAATCAATGCTTATAATCAGTCTGCATGAGTATCTGGATTAATACAGGGGTACTTTCCAGCAAGGATACAGTTCAGGGTTGGTAGACTAATGTTTTTTGTTTTTTTTTTGTTTTAAGAATAAAAGTTTGCGATTTTCCTTAAATATGTTTTTAATACTTCAAATATGTTTTAAGGGGATGCTGGAGGTACCCAATTATCAACATTGCAGTTTGATCAAAATCTTCAAATTGACTAAATGGAACAAAAAAGCTGCTTTCTCTGCTGAACGCAGCCAATCTCATTCTTCAATGCGTAGTCTGATTTCGGCCTTAAGCCTTGTGTCCACGATGCTAGAAATCGGTTCAAGACCTCGGATGAAGAAGGAATTGACCAATCGCATTGGTCATGTGATCAGATTGTTCAAATGTAATTTGTTAATTTTTTCTCTGTCCAAGATCTCGGACCGATTTCTAGTATCGTGGACATCGGGTTTTAGGCCGGAATCAGACTGTGCATTGAAGATTGAGATTAAAGATTAAAGATTGAAATTTCACCAATGAGGACAAAGAAATTTTGGCTGCTTTTGTTCTGATTGGTCAAATTTTAAACTTTCAATCTTCAATCTCATTCTTCAATGCATAGTCTGATTCCGGCCTTAATCTGGATCTACAATAGGTGTTTTAAGCCTTAAGGCGTAAGAAATTAACCAACTACAGTCGAATGCGAGAAGAATAAGCGACTGTGATTCGTCCATTCTTATGGCTCAAGGCTTAAAACCCTATTGTAGATCCGAACCTACTCTTCATCTTTTTCTGATCTTTTGAACTAGAAAAAGACGAAGAGTAAGTTGCACCAAAATTAAAGTTAAACTACATTGGTGGAAACGGGCATTAGTCCGCAAACACAATAGAGTAGTAAGCTTTAAGCCTTGAGGAATTTGTCCAATCATAGTCAATTATTCTTCTCACGTTCAACTGTGATTGATCAATTTCTTAAGGCTTAAGGCTGAGTTTCCACTGAGCGCGTCACGCGTCGCATCGTCGAAGGAGAGAAAGAGAGGGGTTGTGTATTTATATAATCTTATCTCTTTCTCTCTTTCATGACGCGACGCGTGACGCGCTCAGTGGAAACGTACCCTAAGGCTTACTACTCTATTGTGTTTGCGGACTTACTTGTTAGCTACTGTTAATTTTAAGTTTCAATTAATTTAAATAATATATTATAAAAGAATTTATTAAAAATGTTTTAAACTTAATAAAAGAATTGAATTAATTAAAAATTATTTCACTTTATGTATACAACATGAAATTTATGACAATCGTTATTATATGACTTCTATATTCATAAATAATGGTTGAGTGAATTTGTCGGACAGATAAGTCACGCCATAACTGATGCCGCTCTTCGAAATTATACAAAAGGACTGTACCGACAGTAACGTAAACGCAATGGATCAGAGCTGCGAGTAATCGATTTAATTATTTTTTGTATCTCACATGGATATGAATTAAGTACGTTCGTGATCATACTCTATCTATAATTTATTTCTATACATTATTTTTTCATTATTATATCTTCGATTTGAACGTAGTTTCTAATAAATGTGAGTTAATGTAGCACATCATGTATAAATTTTAAAATAAATTTGCCGGCAATAATTATTTTATCATTATATGTATAATTTCCTGCTTTACCAGATAAGTCTACATGTAATTATCGTAAGAGTTTATAAGGTAATATCGTTGAAAAAAAGGACTCGATAAAAGATAATGATAACCCTGACGAAAATGAGAAGTTTCATAAATGTTTGTTTAACGTTTACATAAGCATTTGCAGAAATTCGTTGAGAATTCAGAAACGGCCAGTAGAGTGTTCATAAAGCGGAAATTGCAACGCTGCAACGTTTGGAAGGCATTTTTTGACAAAAATAAGAAGTTTTATGAATGTTTGTTTAACGTTTACATGAGCGTTTGCAGAAATTTGTTGAGAATTTAGAAATGGCCAGTAGAATGTTCATAAAACACAAATTGCAACGCTACAGTGTTTGGAGGGCATTATCTGAAAATAAGAAGTTTCATAAATGTTTGTTTGACATTTACATAAACGTTTAGTTCAAGTGTTGAGCCTGCTGAACGCAGACACTTTATAAAACAAAGGTACAAAATTTATCATTGAGAAATCTCATCATGCGCTTTTTATCCTATTTGATGTGATTTTTAAATGCGAGAAATTGAATTTCATTGTGTCCCTCTGGTAGCGATTGTGCACTGTTTGAAAATTGGATATGTAGAAGAATGTTTGTTAAACGGAGGAAAAACGCTTGTATTACGGAGTTGAGAAAAGCGTTTGATAAATGTTTGAAAAGTCTGACAGTGATCTCTCTGCACGAAGGTGCATCAGCGTTTACTAAGCGCCCTCTGAAAAGCATTGCTTTAACATTACAGAACTTTCATGAAACGATATATACTGTATTTTATAAGCGTTCTGAAAGTATTTAAATCCAATGGTGTTCTATAAGCCTTCTTATAAAGTTTGAAAGCTTAAAAATTCTCAAAAAACCGTCATTGAATGGTTGTCAACGCTTTATAAAGTTTCTTATTTTCGTCAGGGTAACATCAAAGCAAAAAAAATAGCGATTTTGAATATTGAAACCTTCACATTTATATTCAAAATATAAAAATTACATGTATATTAATATTACATCATATTACGTCGCGTATAAACTGAAATCTATATTTAAGTCCGAGTCTACAATGAGTCGGTAGTCTATAATCGAAAGTGAATCTGAAAGATAGTCGGCGAGTCGGAATTAGTCGAAAGCAATGAACCAATACAGTTGATTAGCAACCAACTTCTAAGGTTATCGACTATCGACTCTTTGTAAACTCGGAATAATACATATAATATCATAGTTTTATTATGATACAATATTTCATTCGGATGATCAACTTACACACAATTATTGTTAATAAAATAAAATGATTAACAACGCGCACGCTTTTTTGTAGATTGGCATTTCTATGGACGTTTCATTTAGCGCACTATATTGAAAATTGTTCAAACTTAAACGTGAATTTAATAATTCGATCAAATCATACCATAAGATACATGAAATAGCTTTATTAATTGAAGTATTTTAAACATCCATATATAGACTATAAGTATTAGGGTAACTCCGGTATATACGCCGCTTGGGATTTACGCCGCGGAAGTCAGAAAAAATAGAAGGAGTGGTGGTAATTTTCTCGCAACTACTCTGTTACATGCCTTTATGTTATATTTAATATTAGTATTGAGTTATAATTTCAGCTTCTTACTATTAATATTAATGAAATTATTGTGAGTTGAATCGATTTGTTACTGTGTGTGTAACAAGTAGCATCACCATAAATTAGGGGTGATCCCGATTGATCGCGGCTCGATTGGACACCACCAATCACAGCGACCGGTGCTTTGTAGTCTCAAGCGCTGTGAGTGGCTCGTGTCCAATTGAGCCGTGTCCAACTGGGTACCACCCGTAACTTGAATTAAATGAATGAGAATTACTATATATTCTAACACAAGAATAATATTTAATTACTGTCCTGGAGGACGGGAATGTAGATGTATTCGGACGAGATTAATGTGAGCTTATATATAGTATAAAATATGCGTAAATTAACAAAAAATCTTCAATAAGAGTTCTATGACTACTTACATATGTATAATAAATGTGACTTAACTTTAATTTTTCGCGATCAAATTAGTTCGAATAATCGCGCATCTTTTGTAGAAACTGTGAGCGCAAAAGCCTGTTAATTATCTCTGCAGAAATCATCCTGCCATTTGAAAATGAGTATGTGCAAATATTTCTTAAACCAGTCTGAAGATTGATTATAATAGTTCTGACAAGATGCTTATTAGTGTGGTGCCAATTAAAAATTGTCTTAGCATGAGCAACGTCAAGTCTTTAGAATCATCAGATAGTGTCTACAGTGATTGGGACATATCTTCACTTGTGTGAGAA